TTTTTGCCCCCCAGCCCATCCCACGTGGGACCAATCCGGTCGCATCCTAAACGCCCACGACAATTGCCTGATGATATGTCTTCACTTCCTTCTCTTTCTACTCAGAAAAGACCGACAAGTCACACCCTGCTTTTCCATGCTCAGTTTTGGAATGCACAATTGACTAAGTTCTTTACTTTATGACCAGCTTCCTCAACTGCCTATCTTTCCGACCTTAGTATTGGCAAGGCGCTCCTAAGCCATGTTGGTAGAGATATATCCCTTCATAGTCTCAAGAATGGTACACACATAATTACTGTCCAGAATGCTAACCGAGCTCATGCCCTTTCTCTTTTTTCACACATCGATACTATTCCTGTCACTATCCTCTGTTTATGTAATGGGATATCATTTACAAGTTCGAAAGGTGATCCCTACACTGCAACAGTGTAGAAATTGCTGGCGATTTGGCAACACAGCGAAATATTGCAGATCTATAGCCGAATGCCCAGTCTGTGGTGCCGATGACCATTCTAATATGTCTTGTAATCGACCTACCTCTTGCCTTAATTGTCATGGGGCTCACCCTTCTTACTTTCGCCATTGCCAAATCTACTTAAATGAGCGAGAAATCCATTGCCTCAAAGAGGCAGAAGGTTTCCTCTATGCTCTCGCAGTTTGTCATCTATGCCTCCAAGGGCGACTACTCCGTCTTTCTTATTCTCGTGTTTCTAAACGTCCACCCACCTCTAGGGTCCCATCCTCTGCAGCCTCCTCTGTGGTTACCCATTCCATAGTCACTCCTGTCGCTCATTCTTTTGCTGTCCTGGACTCAAAAGTCCCTACCTCAACACCTCCGTCTGTTCTCACTTCTTTGTGTTCTCCCTCACAAGTCCTGGTATCGACAAGACCTTGTATGACACCTCCTCCCTGTTGCCCCTCTACTTCTCAGAGGTTCAAAAAATCCCCATTGCTCAAATTTCCTTTAACCCCTCCTTTCCTTCTTCCACCTCCACATTTTCCCTTTCCAGTCTCTGTACCTGGTTCTTACCCTCTCACTGCCTCTGCTACAAGTGTGGAGGTTCACCCTCCTCCTCGTACTGTGCCTTCCTCCCGTGTCCCTTCCCAAGTTTCTTCCTCTCTTTACCCCTCCCAGGCTTCTGCCTCTTTCATTGCCCCCTACTTTGGTACAGTCCATTGCTGTCCCAATCTTTACTCTCCCTCCTCCTTCCATCTCCAATATTTTCTCCCATACAATGTCTTTGAACTCCAAAAACATTTGAAGCTATCTCAAAATATACTGAAGAGACTAAAACAACAATGGACACTGATCCACCTCTAGTTTTTTCTCTTCCCTCTCCTCCTTCTGTGCAACTCCATTCTTCACAGCACTCCATTCCTCCACTACTTGAACGTTTTCTGCTGCCTTCACATGTGGACCTTTCTAACCCCTCTAGTCCATAGGTACCCTTACCCAGGGCCAGATTACCGCATAGGCAAACTAGGCATTTGCCTAGGGCCCCGCCCATTTGGGGGCCCCACGGTCCAAGGGGTTCAGGGGCTCATCCAAGACTGCGCCAGGGTGCAAGTAAAAAGGGCCCCTACCTAAAAAGTTAAAGTTTGGAGAGAAAATTGTTTTTAAAAAATTAAATCAAAAAAAATAAATAATGAAATAAAATAAAATAAAAAAAATAAACCAACCATGATGGCAACACCAACAGCCTTTTTTTACTCAAAACGCTGTTTTTCCCCGCTAAGGGCTGAGTATGGGAGATTCCTCTCCAATTTTCTGTATAAGACGTTTTCTAGACTTGTACGGCAAATTAACTGAAGTGTTTTTGAAACTTGATTGTTAAAAAATGTTTGTTTTCCCCTCAAAATGTTAAGGAGTACTGATGGGGTTTACTTGACCATAAAGACCCATGGAACAGTAAAGACGCTTTTTTGGTAAAATATAAAGAAAAACCAAAAAAACGCAAATGATTTCCGTTTGGGGTTTTAAAAACACTTTTCCTGTTTTTAATCTTTATCTTTTCAATAACAGATCTAATTTGATTATGTTTACGTCATTTTCCGTCCAAAGCTTAGTTTTCAAGTTGCGAGGGAAGTAATGTAGAACTCAAAAAAATTTACACTATTTCCCCGAAACCTAAGCCACATCAAAAAATCTTGGGTTTGGGGTGAAACTAAAAATTTGTCCCTCTTTTTTTAAATTCTCATCCTTTATCAGGGTGGTGGGCCATATATCGCAAAACATTGATTAGTTTATTTATAAAAAATGGAAATAAATACCTTTGTGCATTGTTTTTGGGGACTCAGAAGATTTCTTTTTAATTTTAATTGGAGATAAAGGAGATGAATTGTAAAAATATTCGTACCCCAAATCACTAACTAATCTATGTTAAAATTTTGTATAGACCCCTTTTTCGGGTAACGTTTTGAATTTTTAGATTGCACCCAAAGGGGAAAAGGGGGAAAAGGGGCCTACCCCCTAATTGACAGAAAAAAAATTTTAAAATAATTAAAAAATTAATAATAATTGGTAATGAAAAATTTTGTTTTTGCATGATTCAGACAGTGATACCCTCTTAGGCATCCGTAAACGTGATTTGGACTTTCTTATGCGAGGGGGTCACAAAAAAGAAAGAAAAAAATTCAAAAAGAAGAACGAAAAAGAAAGTTTAGGAAGCTGCAGAAAACACAGACATGCCACGAAAACTTTTTTCTGATGTTACCAGACAGTTGAGCCCGAAAATTGTCAATCTTAAGGAAGCCCTCCCTCCTTATATTCCCCCAAACTACTTCTTTTGTGTCCCTCCAATTCTCAACGGACATTTCACCCACGGGATTTGTTTTAAAAAAGATCCTGCCTCTGGCCAAATGAAACCCCAGATTCTTAAACTAATTTTTTCATTTAAAAACTTCAGCAACTTGAACGTTGACTTTAAGAAATCAGCAAGGATTATGATAGGGAAAGTCGTCGTTGTTTAAATCATCTATGTTTATGGGAAAGCTTGAAAATTTCAAAAAACTGTAAAAAAGCAGGTGTATACTCTAAAGCTCAGAAAAGTGTATTTTCCCGCATGCAAGCTATTTTTCCCCAAAAAAATACCTTCCACAGGGGTTCAAGACGGGAAAAATTTTCCAAGCGTTTCGGGGAAATGAAAACACCCACTCAAGGAGCTGCATTTTAGCCGTGTTTTTCGTGCCAGAAAAAGGCTTTTTGGGAATTCCATTGGAAAATCAAACTGAAAAGGCGCAATTAGGGAGAAAATTTTCTAGAAAGATGTGCTTTGAAAATTTTTAGCTCTAAGAGGCTTGCTTTCCGTGGAGAAAATGAGGTTTTTTGGTTAAAAACAAGGGCAATTTCCTAGGGAAAAAGAACTGTTAGCACAATTCGTCAATTCTTAGCAAACATTTTCACCCCTTGGATCAGGAAGGAACTGTATCTTACTGTTATTTTACTATACAATAAATTTTATTAAACGATGACTAAAAGGTCCTCAAAAAACATCATAGCAGCTCTGAAAACTGAAAAATATTTGCAAAAGGGTAGATTCAACAAAAGAATTTCACATACAGAAAAATTGACATTCATTGTTCGCTTTGTCGACCCCGTGGTAACCCTGTAGAGGGCTTTTTTAAAATTAATTCCTCTTTTAGGCCTGATGGAGAAAAAATGTGAAGTAAACGGGGTACTCGCTTGAACGATCCTATTTTTGATTGCTGTGCCAGAGCTACGACAATGCAATAACATCCGGGTAAATATAAAGGATTGCAAGCCCCTATCAACAAATCAAAACCACTTGCTGAATATTTCCTGCTCAGCAATTCCTTTAAACTTGTTGGGTCATGTGCGCGGAGTGTTGTGTCGCTGCATTTCATTTTTTGGACTTTTTCAAGCAATCTTAATTTTTTTCTGTTCAAACGCATCGGGGGGTATAATCAAGCAACCCTTTTGGAGAGTCATAAATCATTATCAACAACAAGGGGTCAGCGCAGCAGATCAACACATGCTTTGAAGACAGCTTTTCTGAAATACGTTCTGCTTTGATCCA